CTGGGGAGCGGCGCCCGGGAGGGCTGTGGTGTTAGTGACTCCCACTGGCCGTAGGGAGCAGAGGGACCCGGCCCCGGCTCTGCTGTACCTGCTCTTGCCCGAGGACAGCTGGGGGGCGCGTGGCCACCCGTTTGGGTCTGGGGTCTCGGCCAGCTGGGGAGCCTGGGCAGCTGCTGCCCTCAGTTCCCCCATTTGTCACCGGGGCGTTTCTAGGGGGGACGTCCGGGGTCAATGCCCCTGAGCACCCGCCACCCGCTGGCACGGGGCGCCCCTGAGCCTCGCTCCCTCTGCGCTGCGGCCAGGGAAGCCTGGCTGCCCCTGGCTGCCCCTGGCTGCCCCTGGCTGCCCCTGGCGGCCGGGCCCGGGGGAGGGGCTGCGAGTGGGCCTCGGAGCAGGTCGGTGCAGCCCACGCACGGACCGGCGCGCCCACGGCGGCTGAGGGGCACAGTGGCGCCGAGCTGTCTTCGTGGAAGTTTGGGTTTCCTGGTGGTCACGGAGGCCATCACAGCATCCTGTCACCGGAGCTTACTTGGCTCCGTGGGCTCCCAGCTGTGTCTTCGGCTCAGCTTTTCTTTCTTCTTGGTGGCTGACGCTCTTTGCCGGTTACGGCCCTGGGAATGCCGCCGGGAGTGACGGTTGTCGGAAACGGCACCAGGGACGGTCACACCTCTGGCTGATATTTGGGGTGCTTCCTGCCTGTCCCCCCTCGGCTTTAGACTTGACTTTCATTTTGCAGCTACGGCTGGGAGGAGCGTGCGGGCTGTGAATCGCGAGAGACCCGCGCCTTGCAGCCGAAGGCCCCGGTAACGGCCTCGTGGTTTCCGTCTGAGGAGGCGTCTGCACTGGCGAGGGCGCCTGCTCGCCCGTCAGATGGGGGGCGGCCGGGCCCTCTGCCTTCCCCAACACGCGGCCTGGCCCTGCCCCACACTTGCAGACACCTCTTTGGGAACAGCAGATTTTTCAAAGTTTGCCAAATAAGCACATTTTTCCCCTCCAGGGCAGATGCAAACAGTCTTTTCAAATCAGTTTGGAGAATAAATGAGCCCACGCTGGGGCTCCAATAAATCTCTGCTCCGCCACAGGGCGCGTCCTGGGCCGTGAAGGCGCCTCTGGCTTACGAATGATGCCAGGGATGCCCGCCCCGCCGCTCCCCTCCGCCCCAGCCCAATTGAAGACCGGACGTGAATGTGTTAAGACAAAGGGGTCTTCGGCCCGTCTCCCCTCCCGGGAAGCCCCGTGGCACGTCCCCGTGGCTGTGGCCCGCGAGTGGCTGGGCCCGTGGCCGCTGCCGACCGGGGTCCCGCGGAGGAACCCCTGCTGCGCCCCGCTGGGGCCCGACAGCCGCTGGCTCTCACTGAGGCTGAGCCTGCCCCCCGACGGGCCCCAGCCCTCTGCCGGCAGGCTGGCCACCGTCCCCTTCCCTGCACCCCGCCTTCGCCGGCTCTGGGCCCCGAGTCACGTGCTACCGGCACCCTACTCCCCAGGCCCACCTGGCAGAACCCCGCTCTTCCTCGGCCCCCGGTACCCCCGACTTCCTGTCCTGGGGTCTGGCAGTGGAGCCCTGCCCTGGCAGGCATCTTTCACAGGCATCCTCCAGCTGTCCCGTCCCCTCTTGGAGGTCCTCACGGGGCCTCTGAGGTCCGCACATGGTCTCTGCCCATTTCACAGGTGCGGAGTCCAGGGTCAGGCCGGAACGTAGCTTGCTGGACATGCTGCTGCTGGCGGCAGAGGGCTGGGATGCCGAGCTGGGTGGGGAGCTCACCAGAGCTGTCCCAGGGCCCCACGCGGCATCCGGCTGCCCACC